AAAGTCAGAATTCTGACTTTTTTCCCATACTATACTGAAATAAAATAAAACTATCTGTTAATTTTTTTTTTTTCAGTGGCCCTAATCCTCTTCCGTAGTATTGATATGCTGTTTTTCTGTTTTTTTTTTATTTACTACTTTTATTTTGCACCTTTTTTTTTTTGCACCTTTCTAGATGTTTTTTCTAGATGTTTTTGAAAAATGAATCATTTTGGTAAAAAGAGATTGTTATTCTGACCTTTTGTTGTAGGTTTGGATCGACGCAGCAGCTCAGATCTTCTTCTCCTTGGGTCCTGGGTTCGGTGTGCTGCTCGCCTTCGCCAGCTACAACCCCTTTCACAACAACTGCTATAAGTAAGCACCCAAAGAACGTGTTTGCATTCGCTCTCCAAAGTATACACACCCGCAATAAAAATGACAGGTGTACACTGCAAAAAATGTCAATCCAAATAGGTACATTTTTCTTAAAACAAGTGAATTTCTTCCTGAATTGAGCAGGTAAGTGAGACACTTTGCCAATGGAATAAGACAATTTATATTTGAAATAAGAAAAAAAAGATTGCAGTCTCTTATTTTAAGTGCATAATATCAAATTTCCTTAATTAAAGGGTAAAAATGCTTGTTCCGTTGGCAGATCATCTTATTTTCTTACTCAAATTTAAGGTAAATACACTTATTTTACAAAATTTTTGCAGTGTACATGATATACAAAGGTATTTTTTCAACACTAAAAGAAAAATAATAAAGACATCTAAATAATAAAAATTATTGCTGCAAACTTGTTGCATACAAAACTGTTTAACCAGTACTTTTTGATTCTGAAGTCTGACGGCATCCCACTTACTGGTTTTTAGAAGCATACTTGATTTCCTCCATCTTGACTTTAAGGCAAATGAAGGAAGGTAATCCCACAGCATGATGCTGCCATCACCATAAAAGTTCTGCATGGTGTCCAATGGGTGCACTGCATAAAAATGAAATCTCAATAAGTAATTTTTTTCTTGAATTGAGGAGGTAAGTGAGACACTTTGCCAATGGAACAAGACAATTTACATTTAAAATAAGAAAAAACTATTTTATTGTCTTATTTCAAGTGCATTTTATCTAATTATCTTATTTTAAGAGTAAAAATACTCATTCCATTGGCAAACTATCTCATTTACCTACTCAAATTAAAGGTAAATACACTTAATTTAGGAAATTTTAACTTAATTCTAGATCATTTTTCCAGTGTACCGGCGGCCCCCGCTGCAACCCTGACAAGGACTAAGTCGGAGAAAATGGATGGAAGTTGCAAATAGTATTAAAATATATTTAAAAAAAACTTGAAACATCAATATCTAAATTTAAGCTAATAAAGGAATAGATAAAAAATGTCTTCCCTCTTTGGATCTGATCAATCAACGTCAGGGTTTTCCTGCCCCTCTGGTTTCATCCAGGAAGCTCCCAAACTGCAGGCTTTGGTGAACAACTATAGCAACTTTCATGTTTCTACAAAAAAAATGTATGTTGCCATGGTGACAGTGTCAATTAGTGGATTATTATTGGGCTCTAACTGGATAGTTATTGTTGATTTTCCCTCCAGTTTGTTGCAGCAGTTCCTTCAGGTCTTTATCAGTAGGTATGGAAATAATTATCCAGTTTAAGAAATATGTGCTTGAATGTAGTGAGAAAAAGTAAAACATCCTCAGAAGAAACCAAACTCAATATATTAACAATTTCTATTTATTATTGTATTAAACGGCTGTGAAAGAGCCAATCTGAGACAAATTCATTTATAGTTTTAAAAAGGGTTAAAATACAAGATTGATCATTTTGTTTGTTAAGATTATAATTGAAGTTTAAAAAAACTCTAATATTAAAAGCATAGAATATAGAAATGCAATTTGAAATGCATGTTTTTGGGCTTCCTGCATGTTGTAATTGTATACGTGTTTTTTTTTTTGTTTGCTTTTACGTACTGTACGTAAGGACTGAGGGGAAAACAAGATATGCTGGAAGCAACACAGTTTTTGACCGAGTTTATATTATACGAATGTGGATGTTCTCTTATTTTTGTTTTCTTTTAATAAACATCACAAGTTGAAGAACATTATCTTGAATTGCTCGTGTTTCAGTACTAGTTGCTAGACTTTTTTTCCATGCGGTACAGAAGAAACTAAAGGAGCTGGAGTGCCGCTACAGGCTGTATACAAATACCTTTTAAGTCGGTTGGGAGTTCAAAAAGCTTCAGTCCTGCAGCAGCATCACAATCTGCTTCGGGATTTTCTCTCTTAAGCCGCCAGGAATTCTTTATTGTTTTTATGTTAAATTAAACAGAGCAAATATCAAAGGGCCATTTTTGTTGCATTTTTCAACATTTGAGATTCTTATCTTCTTTTGCAGCATCTACCCTCTACAATGCCAGTAAATTAGGAACTCCTTTTTCAAACTTTTGCTCTTTTTTTCCTGTCAGAGATGCGCTGGTCACCAGCTCAGTGAACTGCCTGACCAGCTTCCTGTCTGGTTTCGTCATCTTTACCGTGCTGGGCTACATGGCAGAGATGAGAAAGCAAAATGTGGACGACGTGGCGAAGGATGCGGGTAAGATCACGTTTCACGCTGAGGTGTTCTGCACTTGTTCTCTCTCTGCTGAACATGTTTACTCTGCTTTTTTCTTTCAGGTCCCAGTCTGTTGTTCATCATCTACGCTGAGGCCATCGCCAACATGCCCGCCGCCACCTTCTTTGCCATCATCTTCTTCCTGATGATCATAATGCTGGGTCTGGATAGCACGGTCAGTACATTCATCACTCCTGTATGTGTTTTCAACTGAATATATTGCTGCAAACATCCCAGCTGTCACTGGATCCCTCCAACTCCAGACAGAGATTCAGAGTTTGCCTTGTTGCCTTTGACTTGCACTTTAGAGGTTCAGGTATCCTTTGTCCTATTATCTCCTTCTGAACGATAGCCAATGAACACAACGTGATATGAGTTTTGTATCAGCGTTTTCTGCAGCCGTCTACATCAGCCTTTGTCTGTCGGCTCTGAAGCAGCCAACCGGGACCCGTCACGCTCTTATCATGAACTGATAATCATTTTAGAATCAGCGCTGAGGTTGTTGCTCCTGTTTTATGACAGAGGATATTACTGCGGAACGTGTCACATTGGACTGGCTTAAAATCTCATTTCAGTCAGTCCCTACTTTCAGTGCAGTGCCTTGCAAAAGGCCTCACATCCAATGGATGTTTTTTTTGGCTAAGCCTGATATGTGGAGGAACTATCAGTCATAGGGATTAATGAAGCATCTATCCAGGCATCTCCAAAGTCGGACCTCGAGGGCCGCTGTCCTGCAGGTTTTAGAGGTTTCTCTGCTTTAGCACAGCTGGTTATGATGATGGCAGTTCAGCAAAAGCCTGGTAATCAGCTTTCAATAAAAACCAGCTGTACAGGAGCAAGGAAACCTCGAAAACCTGCAGGACAGCGGCCCTCAGGGACCGACTATGGGGTTGCCTGATCTATGGGGTATATTTTCTCCATCATTGCTAAAAGTAAAAACACATTTAGCAGATGCAAATTAAGAAATACATCTTTGAAAAACTTCCTTATCAAAGGTTTTAGGTTTTTGTGTCACCTGTCCTGCAAACAGGAACCCTGGGTTCGTATCTAAGCTGGGCGGAATGAGCTGCCAGTGTGGGTCCTTAGGCAAGACCCTTAATGCTAAAGTCTGCTTTGGATTGGAGCCCTACTGGTTAGGGCACTGTGCTGGAGATCCTGAGGTTCCGAGTTCAAGTCCCACTCCCACAGACAGCAACTCTGGGTTGCACACATTAGACTTTACCTATTGTGTTTTCTATTTTTTTTTATATTTTACTGTTTAAAACTATTTTTTCACATTTCTCTTTTTCAGATTGAGTTTAAGAATTGCAATTTGTTTGCAATTTTGTTTTTTTCTTTTGCTTTTTGTAGATCAGATTCTTTTCTCTTCTAAAAGCAAAGACGTTTCTCTGTTGGTCTTCATGTTTGTATTTGAGCGTTTGCATTCGGCTTGACGTGAAGAGAATGTGATCTGTAACGTGCTATTTGATAAAATGCATTTAGTAAAACTTTAAAAACATAAATAAATAAAACAGAAAATTGAAAATATGTATCTGTAAAAAGAAAACTAAAAACGGTTTAAAACTAAAATTTGAAAAAAAAATTTAATATATTTAAAGTTATAGTGGAGGATTTTCGCTACTTTTTGAAAAATGCACATGCACAACCCTGTACCCGAGCGGGAGTGCCTATTAAACACGTATGAGTGTTTACGAGACCATTTCTCCTCATGCACACTAAAAGTTTCTGTTTGCATCGCTCATACAAGCTTAATTTCCTAAAGAAGATATTCAATTTTTCCACTATGTCAGACACACCGCCGGTGTGTTACGCCGAGCATTACCACCCCTGTCGCGGGAGCGCTCATCGCCCTAAACTCTCGCACCTTGATGAGAAAATGGATTGAAATATGAACAAAAAGGGAATTTTTAAACATATTTTTAATGTTTTGTTGGAAATTATGTAAAATGGTGCTGATAGCAAAAGTGGGAAATGCTTTCCACTGATCAGAGAATAGCTTCATCGGACACTGATTGTAGCACAATGACTAAAACGTGTCTCCATACAAGTTTGTTTGAATTTATCTGTCCACCAAAACTCTCCATTTTAGGGCATCCATGCATAAGAAATATCAAAACATTAAGAAGATGCAGCTATTTCTGGTATAACACTGGTAAGTGAAAATGGGGACGAGTACGTAGGACGGCTTTACGTAAACATATCACCAGAATGATTGACAATTAGGAGGACCACTTATTTTGATGATCCCCTCAGAAAAAGATCATCCTCCACCAGTGTTGTAGTACTCGAGATCGGTCTTGGTCTCAAGACAATTTTTTGATGGTCTCGTCTCGGACTTGGGCGCTGAGGACTCGGCATTTTATTTTAAGACCGGTCAAGACCACAACTGTGGAAATAACGCTAATCATCAGAATATTATCAGTTTCTTTAAGATCCTTCTTTTTATTGAATGCTTGGATTCAAATCCAAGCAATAACCTGTCTCATTGGTAAATGCATGGTTTTTTTTGTGTTTTTTTTGTTTTTTTTACCGCTGTTACCGCTTTTACGCCCACCCCCTTTCACCTGCGGGCTGCAGCACTTCGATTGAAAGTCACAAGTGGTTGTCTGAGAACGGGATAAGATGTCGGCCAAATCATCGGTTATAAAAATGGGCTATTTAAATCACAAAGAATATATTTGTAAAGCAACATTGAGAAAAAAGCATACAGCGCAATGTAAGTTCTGCAGTGCTTTACTAGCCGAGACGGTAGGGACTACGTCCAACTTATTACTTAAAAGATGTTTATCTTTATTCCAGTTCTGTGTGTTAAATATCTAGGTGTTTTTATGTGAATGTGGGTCTTTTAGATCAACTTTAGGGATTTTTCATCATGTTTCACATTTTATTGTCACATACTGGCGCTGGTCTTCGTCTTGACTACGTCTCGACTTCCCTTGGTCTTGGTCTTGACTCGGTCTCGACTTCCCTCGGTCTTGACTTGGTCTCGGACCCTAAAAGTCTTCGTCTTGACTACGTCTCGACTTCCCTTGGTCTTGGTCTTGACTCGGTCTCGGCTTACTTCGGTCTTGACTTGGTCTCGGACCCTAAAAGTCTTGGTCTTGTCTCAATCTCGATAGACTCTGGTCTTGGTCTTGACTCGGTCTCGGCTTACCTCGGTCTTGGTCTTGACTTGGTCTCGTACCCTAAAAGTCTTGGTCTTGTCTCAGTCTCGGACCCTAAAAATCTTGGTCTTGTCTCAGTCTCGGACCCTAAAAGTCTTGGTCTTGTCTCGGTCTTGATAGACTCTGGTCTTGGTCTTGACTCGGTCTCGGACCCTAAAAGTCTTGGTCTTGTCTCGGTCTCGATACACTCTGGTCTTGGTCTTGATTTGGTCTCGGACCCTAAAAGTCTTGGTCTTGTCTCGGTCTCGATACACTCTGGTCTTGGTCTTGTCTTGGTCTCGAGTGAGGTGGTCTTGACCACAACACTGTCCTCCACTATACCTTTAAGGTTTCAAAGCATTGAATCCAGAGATGTTTACCTTTCATCAATAAAATCCAACAATCCATAAACCCGGAGATATTAAAGCATGTTGTAAAGATCTGTGACCATTTTTAGCATTTATGCTGCTGTAGAAATGTTGTTTGCTGTTCTAACTGCTTGTTTTCTTGCTTTCCCCCTCCTCCCATTTAACCCTAACCCTTCTCCCCATGTCATCCTCTTCACCTTTTGTGCACCTTCCTCTCTCCAGTTTGCAGGTTTGGAGGGGGTAATCACAGCAATGCTGGATGAGTTCCCTCACCTCCTAGCTAAGAGACGCGAGTGGTTTGTCTTTGGCCTTGTCTGTGTGTGCTACCTCGGGGCTCTGTCCACTCTCACATATGTAAGTTATTGACCTACAGTTTAATCATGAAAACCTTCCTTACACTCAGATGAATCAAAACACAATATGTTACTATTTCAGCATGTAATGTTACTGCAATCCTTCAATGTTTTATTTAATTTAAGCTTGAAATATGTCTAAGATGTGAATTTTTCAGGTGTTAAAGTGATAGTTACGAACTTAACTCCTCCTGGCCAGTAAGTGGTAACATGACTCCGCCAGATGGATTTGCTCCGCATATCCATCTGGAAACCTTCCGTAGAAGTAATTTTGGGAAGGGGCGAAAATACTGGTTAGCTGATTGGCCTATGTTGGTGATAGACGGGCCAAATAAACCAATCAGATCAACGAAGCATATGACGTACTAACAGAGCGACGACGAAAACACAACCACAAGCCAGGCTACTCTTGCCGAAACCAGTCGGGAGAAGAGCAAAAACATCTTTTCCTCTGAGAAAAGCCTCCAGAGCAGTGTTTTGCTCTTCTTTCAGTGAAGAAATACTCTGTAATTCCGATAAAACTTGCTCGATAGCCACGCTAACGCTAGTTTCATCGGCTGAAGCCGCCATGTTCTTTAGACTGAACTGTGGTGCTTCTCGTTGCGTCACAACTCAACCCGCCTCAAAGCCAACGCTGATTGGACGTTCGTTTGGTGAACGGCTCCAAATTTTCTTCAACGGAGAGTCTCCAGACTGATTAGCGGGTGAAATCTTGAAAGCTCGCAAGATCAGGATGGTCTCACGAGGCTAAGTAAGTGGCGCCATTGCACGCGTCAAATCTCATTCCATACTGTTTGCCAGCCGTTGGTCTGGCCTGTTAATCACTACGCGATCTATCGGGAACACGATCAGCTTATTTGCGCATATGAAACCATAAATTCATTTAGATTGTAAATAAAGTGATTATGGTAGCTAATGTACTAATTATGAAATCATACTGAGATACATGATATAAAATATTATAAAGGGCTTCGCTGAGAGAATGAATGCATTTACATTTTTCCAGTTATGTTGCCCATGTAACAGACATGCTCGGAGCAATCCAACTGCAAAATAGTAGTACGCCATGTTTATTTCTATTTTAACTGTGTCATTCTTTAGATTGCGTTATATACTGTATAGGTAGCCATTTATGTTAAGAAAGAAAAACCAACTTTAAACAGAAGGGGTGGACTCAGGTTTCAGCTCTCAAAAACCTACAATGCAGCGATAGAGTTGATTCCTTCCCGCCATCATTTCAACTGCCATCGCCATGCAGGGGACAAAACATTTCGCCTAGATAGCCAAGCCAATAATTCCTCCTAACAGCCCCCCCTTTCAGAGGCATAGACCATAATTGGGAATTGCAGACTAACAAAGAACCCAATATGACTCCCCATTCTTAAAGGGCGGACCCGAATTTGAGTGTTTTCTAAGTCAAAACAAGTTTTTGTTCCACTCTATAAAGCCTCGAACTCAACACTATTTCTAACTGGTTTAATTGAAAAAGCTTCCTGGATAGGAAGAGAAACGTCTTCAAACTTGGAAATAAAGTCCAGTGGATTGGTTTTTTTTTTTTTGTTTTTTTTTGGAATGACTATGACGGTAAAGACTGAGAATCTTCACCAGCATACCATGCAGCTACAATAAAATAGAAACATTGAACCAAAAGTGTCTACAACTTTTTACAACGCAACAGCTGAAAAATTGGACGCTAGAAGTAGAGCAGTAATTGCATTTTTTTGATAGATCGGATACACAAGTTGGTACAGATTGTCCTACCTTTATTAATCAGGCAGTGACAACCAGGTCAGCTAATGCTAACGCTAACGTTTAGTTGGATATTATAACAACACGATTTGTACCATCAGCAAATTTGCACTGATACCAGTGTCAGTCCTGGCCCCTGTTATGGCCCCTGCACTGAAGACATAATACTCAAATAAATTCTAATGATGAACAGACATGGTTACTTATGGGTCTTTTGGATCTATTTAATTTTTTATTTTTTTTGCTTCACAAATTCTGTTTTACTAATTATTTAAAAACAATAAGGTGGTAGCTTAGAATCCAGGTTTTTCATCCGCTAAATGTTTTTTTTTTTTTAACAAATTTTGAAAAATACAATAATTTTTACAATGGAATTTATCAGTTTTTCTTTATTTATAATTCTGATTTTATAGAAAATGGCAATTTCAACTTGAATTAAGTCAAAAATACACAAAATTCCTAAATTATGTAATAATGTATATTCACCTAATAAGACATAGAATTTTAATTAAACTAAATTGAATTGAAATGTGACTTCATGCAGCTCTTTTAATGTATTTGAATCCCTGCCCTGTTTTTTTTTTATTGCATGTTTTTCTGGGCCCCCATGAAAACACACTGGCCCCCTCCTGGCCCCCTGGTACATTTGGTCTAGAACCGCCACTGTAGATACACACACACATCAATTTCAAACAGATGGTATCGGTATCGGCCGATACTGTACAGACAGGTATTATATCAAGACCAAAAGATGGCATCGGCACAACGCTGGTTTTAACCAATAAGGACGAACACAAATTATTTGTGTCCTTTAACCATAAAAGATGTACTAAATTAAATTGTGTAAAATGTTAATAACAGCTTTGCTGATAGAATAACACGATGCAATCAAAGGAGCTTCCTAAGATCAGTAATAATGTAAAACATTTGATCAATGCTCACTTCTGTTTTGCTATTTTTTTGTTTATTTTTTTTGCTTAAATCTGAGAAATGTGCTGCAGAGAAGAAACCATTTCTAATAGTATCTGGTAACACATGACTTCCTCCTACTATTCCTATTGGTGCAGAATGCTCTCATGTTGAGGCTGACATCATAACCAGAAGTAAAAATCAAACGTCAAAATTTATAAAATAATTTTTTATATTCTACTTTTTTCATTAAAATGTATACTTTTATTCTGCAGCACTCTGGACATCTATTATTTTCTGCAGTATTTATCATTTTGCTGAAAAAGTTGAAGCTATGACCTTTGAATTAACTTTCATGGATAAACGCTGCATACATTCTGCTTTTTATTCTTACATTTGAAGCTTAAATTCTCATGTTGAAATCCTACTGTAAGAAAAAAATGATTGTATTGTGTTTTGATACCAGTGGGGCTGTTGCAAAACACTGAGATCATAGATTGTGTCTGTTTTGAAATGAGATAATTGCGCTCAGACTTTACTCTTTTTATTGCCTCCATGAGGTTGCTGACATCATTCTGGATAGATATTTGATCATTCTCCTTGGTTTAATTGTTAGGTTTTAAAGCTTCCATATCCTGCTTTTTAACCCTTATCAAAGTCACCTACTACCAAATATATAATAAAATAATCCCTTTTAGCCAAACTGTGTATTAATTTCCTATGAATATTAGTTCTTTACTACTTACCATGAAGAAAAAGCGTTCAAACCATCTCCAGATAACTCCATGATGACGTCGCTGTATAAAAAACCTGTTCTAGAGGCTAAACAAAGTCCAAATGGCTGAACAAAAAGCAAAAACAAAATTTAATTACTCAGTAACTAAAAAGGAAATCTGCCCTGTGCTGATTAGATGCTGATTAGATACTTTGTCTCAACTTAGAGCCAGAATCACCGTGCTCTGCCTCGGGTCACCTCTAATCTGGGAAAGTGGCGTTTGTTTGCAGTGCAGGCGCAGCACGGTTAGGGTAGCTGCCTCCTCTTGCGTAGATATTCTCCAACCAAAGGGTCATTATTTATACCTAAAACTAATACGTTTGTTGGGGGATTTATCTAATTTAGCGTTGATCAGATCAGTAAAAAAAATAAAAAAAACAATATTGATCGTCACGATCACTGAGTCTGGGAGCCGCCATTTTTGCCCA